CAAACTTAAAAAAAAAAACACAATTATTGGAACTAACAAGGGTTCAGAAAAGTGATTGTGTTCAAGATAAATGTTTTAAGAATCAGTAGTTCTCTTATACAATAGCAACAATAACCCTCCATTACATGACAATGTAATGGAAGCAAAGATTTTCATAACAGGAAAGACAAATGTATATGATATGCATATATTATTGAAATACATGATAAAATGTCTAGAAGGATATATACTGAAGCATTAATGTTGTTGGTTACAGGAGACTTATTTAATTTCCCTGAGGTGTTTTCTTTAATATCCTATAATCAGGGAATTTTTTTCTTTTTTTTCCCCCTTCTTTTAATAAAAATATGGTAGAATACACATAACATGAAATTTACCATCCCTTCTTTTTTTCTTTTAGCTGCGCTGTGCAGCTTATGGTTGGGATCTTAGTTCCCCAACCAGGGATCAAACCCATGCCCCCTTCAGTGGAGGCGTGGAATCCTAACCACTGGTGCGCCAGGGAATTCCTGCATCTTAACCATTTTTAAGTGTACCATTCAGTAGTGTTAAGTTCATCACATTGTTGTGAACCAATCTCCAGAACTTTTTTCATCTTGCAAAACTAAAATTCTATATCTATTAGACTGTAGCTCCCCATTCCCCCTGGACCCTGGCACCACCATTCTAACTTCCTGTCTCTATGAATTTGACTACTCTATGTACCTCATATAAATGGAATCGTACAGTGTGTGTCTTTTTGTGACTGGCTTATTTCACTTAGCATAAAGTCCTTAAGGTTTATCCATGTTGTAGCAGGTGTCAGAATTCCCTTCCTTTCAAAGGCTGAATACTATTCATTGTGTGGCTCTATCACATTTTGTTTATTCATTCATCTGTTGATGGACACTTGGGTGGCTTCTACCTTTTGGCTATTGTGAAGAATGCTGCTATGAACATGGGTGTACAATTTTTTCTTTTATTTATTTATTATTTTTTTAAAATTTATTTTTGACTGTGTTGGGTCTTCATTGGCACGGGCTTAGTTGCTCCGCGGCATGTGGCATCTTCCCGGACCAGGGCTCGAGCCCGCGTCCCCTGCATTGGCAGGCGGATTCCCAACCCCTGCACCACCAGGGAAGTCGCCAATTTTTTCTTTTTAAAGACAAAAATGTAGCAGGAACAAAGAAGAAAGAACATCTAAGTCTAATTGAGAGAGTCGGGAACGGCATCATACAGAAAGGAGAGGTACTGTTTGAGCCGAGACTCAATGCTTATTGTATGGGCATCAGGCAGATGGTAAGGAGACCACAGTGTAGGGAGAAAGAAGATCGTGTTTAGACAGAAACAGGACTGCATGTATTCTTGGGAGAAGTGTAGAAAGTTCAGCATCTGACTGGGTAAAGGAAGATAAGGTGGTCAAGGGCCACGTCATGACAATCTTCTTAGTTACTCATGCCTGGCAATTTGGCCTTGGAAGAGTGGTTTACCACAAGGGCCTTGGGCCCAGACCTCCTGGGTTTGAATGCCATAGATCTGCCACTTGCTGTGTAACCTCAGGCAAACTGTTGACTCTCTGTGTTCCTCCACTGGGAATGATAATAGCACCGACTTCATAGAATTAAATTAATTCCTGTGTGTAAGATGCATAGAACAGTACCTGGCACATAAATGCGAAATAAATGTTAACTGTTTTCTATTGCTGCTATCATCATCATCCTCATCATCCTCACCATCCTCATCATCCTCATCCTCACCACATCTGTAGGAAATGGGGACCAACTAAAGAATTTTAAGCAGAAAGCTGATAGGCTCAGATGTGGATGAGGGGGTAACTGATAATACTGTTCAAGACTCAGGCGTCAGGGAGGTTAGCCAAATGGCACTTGTCTGTGTATCACTAGAGTTTGCTGTTGTGGAGAACCTTTATGTTTGCATCCTGTTCCATAAGATAAAAATAATCAATTTAAGCCCATTTGGATAGAGGTACCAACTTTGCCATGAGAGTTAGAAAAGCAGTAAGTGTCCCAAGAATGGTCCCAATCGTATTGATCAGGGGCTGGCAAACAACACCCAGGGCCCAAATCCCGCCTGCTGCATGTTTTTGTAAATGAAGTGTTTTTGGAACACAGTCCCACACATTCACGTATGCACTGTCTCTGGCTGCTTTCATGCCGCAGTGGCAGGGCTGGGTAGTTATACAGTCATACAGACTGTATGGCCGACAAAGCCAAAACATACTTACCACCTGGCCCTTAGACAAAAAGTTTGCAGCCCGTCATACAGAGCTACCTGAACCCAGGCCTCACTGTTGTTTTGTCTGTTTACGTCATCTGGCATATTCCCACCTGTCTTTCGTGGGTAAATCCCGAGGAGACAGGAAGACAGGTGAGCGTGATCCCTTGTCTCCCAGGGTTCTCAGTCTAATTGGGTGATAGGTGCACAAACACTTCAAGGGAGAAAGACGTAGAGGAGGATGTGAGTACTTTTGCTTCGGGAAGTTGAATAAGGTTTCACAGGGGAGCAAACATTTGCACCGAGTTTGAAGGTGAGTTCAGCTGTGCTAGGCTGAGTGGACAGGGGGCGGGGAGTCAGTGTGGAAACACGTTATGTGTGGGGAAGGGTGGGTAGTTTGCAGTGACTCAAGCACAGGGAGGGAAGGTTTCAGTTGTTGGATTGTGTGAAACATCTGTCTGTGCTGGGCTGAGACGTTTATACCTGGAAGCAGTGGGGAGCCAATAGATTTTACTAACGTATCAGAAGCAGGTTTCTGTGGGTAATGACTGATCACATCTATTTTCTCCCTTTAAGTGCAGTACCAATTTAGAAATAGACATGGGAGTTGAATACAGATTAAAATATCAGCTGTAAAAAAAAGAAAAGAAAAAAGAAAAAAAGAAAAAGAAAAAAAAAGAAAAAGAAAAAGAAAAAAAATATCAGCTGTATTGTTGGTAAACAAGACCAAATACATGACTTGGATGGGTAACCATGGGGGCTTTATTTATCTATCTACTTATATTGTAGTATAGTTGATTTATAATGTTTCAGGTGTACAGCAAAGTGATTCAGTTATACATGTACATGTATCTGTTCTTTTTCAAATTCTTTTCCCATTTAGGTTGTTACATAACATTGAGCAGTGTTCCCTGTGCTATACAGTAGGTCCTTGTTGTTTAGATACCTGTCCCCTGGGTCAGGTCTTGGGGTGACAGACTGAGTTTGCAGGGGCAGCACTGCCCCAGTCATCCTTATGGAACTTCAAAGGCCACTCACTAATGCCCACTGAACAGAGACATAGGCCTCTAGAACTGCTTCTAGAAACCAAGCCCTCGCTTCTGCCCCAGGAGTGCCCCAGGAAGGCAAGAGTGGGAGGAGAGAGGCACCAACTTAAGTGCTGGGCCCTTCAGAGATCTCCATGTGCTAGAGTCTTTCTCCCAACCTCACTATTCTGATGAGTCAGTCCCCCTGTGAAGAGAGTAAGGGTGGAGGTCGCCTTCCCAGAACTTCTAAGGGAAGTCTGTATTCTGTGGGCTTGGACAGGGTCCACTGGAAAAGGAGAGTATGGTTCCCTCTAAAGCTGGCATGTTTAGATCTATTTTGGAGACTTCTGGCAGCAGTGTAGAGAGCAGATTGGAAGTGAGTGAGATTAGACGCAAAGGGATCAACAGTTGGAGCTTGAACTGAGCCAGTGGGGCTAGAGATCAGTTGGAGAGATTACGGAATATAGAGCCAGGAAGATTTGGTGGCTCAGTGTGAAATCAAAGACAACCCAGAATTTCTAGTTTGGGAAACTGGGTATATAATGTCTTTCTTGGACTCTCAATTCAGTTCCATTGGCTCATATCTCCATCCTATGCCAGTAGCACACTGTCTTGGTCACTTGCAGCTTTTACATGGTCTTTTTTGTCCGAAGACATCCTATTACTTTGACAAAACTTATTTGTAAGTTTCATGTGCAGTTCGACCTTTTCAAGGCACCAGCCTCCCCTTCTCCCCTGAGATAATATCTCTTGATAGGGAATTTCACCCTGAGACAGAATGGTTTTTTTAATTATCCCACAGAAATGTATTGGACACCCGCATGCTTTTATTTTTGGCCTAGTTTAAAGAGTGGGGTTGGTGAGTCATATAGTAAGCATATGTTAAACATTTTTATTTTTTTTTGTGGTACGCGGACTTCTCACTGCTGTGGCCTCTCCCGCTGCGGAGCACAGGTTCCGGACGCGCAGGCTCAGCAGCCATAGCTCACGGGCCCAGCCGCTCCGCGGCACGTGGGATCCTCCCAGACCGGGGCACAAACCCGCGTCCCCTGCATCAGCAGGCGGACCGTCAACCACTGCGCCACCAGGGAAGCCCCCGTGCGGGATTTTAGTTCCTCGAGCAGGGATTGAACCCCTGCCCCCTGGAAGCATGGATTCTTAACCACTGGACCACCAGGGAGCTCCCCCCGCCCAATGCATTTATTTATTATTATTTTTAAATTTAATTTTTATTTTATATTGGGATATAGTTGATTTACAATGTTGTGTTAGTTTCAGGTGTACAGCAAAGTGATTCAGTTATACACATACATATATCCATTCTTTTCCAGAATCTTTCCCATATAGGTTATTAGAGAATACTGAGTAGAGTTCCCCGTGCTATACAGTAGGTCCCACCCGATGCATTAAAATAGGCATCTAGCATCTGCTGTCATAAATTGTTGTGAATTTTTTTTATATATATACTTACCTAGAATGAGTTTTCTGAAGGTAGGGGCTGTGTCTTAGCTCAATGTGTAGTCTCCTAGTGCAATACGTAGAGTGGGTTTATGGTAAGACCTAGAGGTAAAAAGCCAAGGATACAGGTAAAAGTGTGAGAGCTTTCTTGGCACCAAACCACAGCACCTGGAGAGCACCGGCTGCCGTATAACCACCTTTCCCCTCACAATGGCAGCAGCAGCTCAGGCTAAGCAGGAAGGGTAGTGGGGGTGAATGGGGACTAGACAGAGCTGTTTTTCTCCCCGTATCTCCAGCATTCACATGTACATCGGCTCCCTTTTTTGGCAGCAAGGGGGCCAGGCCAACCATCCCACAGCCGCCGTGGTGACGGAGAAGCAGCAAATGCTGGAGCAACACCTGCAGGATGTCCGGAAGCGTGTCCAGGTGAAGCAGGTCTAGGGCAAGACTAGGGAAGACTTTCCTTGGGGAAGTTGCCTGTGGGTCCTGCCTGTATCTTCTGTGAGGTTTTTAATCCTATTCAGAAACTTCCTTTTCCCTCTCCCCAGGGAAATCCTTTTTACTTCTGTTTTGGTTTGTTTTAAACAGGACCTAGAACAGAAAATGAAAGTGGTAGAGAATCTCCAGGATGACTTTGATTTCAACTACAAAACCCTCAAGAGTCAAGGAGGCAAGTGAATATTAGAGACGTTAAAATCTCCTGTAGAAAGTTAGCTTGTGCTACTTGAGTCTCAGGACTTGCTTGTTCAGACTCAGGGGAGTGGGTGCTCAGGGGCTGCTGGCGGTTACTGAGGATAGGAGTATTCCATCAGCTCAAGGAGTTTCTCCTTCCTTCTCAGATATGCAAGACCTGAATGGCAACAACCAGTCAGTGACCAGGCAGAAGATGCAGCAGCTCGAACAGATGCTTACTGCGCTGGACCAGATGCGGCGAGTAAGAGCAGTGGACACCTCCACCTGCCTGTCTCACTCACGTGCAGGACTTGGGCATCTCAGGGAAGAACTTGCTTGTTTTCTAATGAGTTCCTTCTCTGGAATTGACTAAAGACTGTGGTGAGAGACGGTCTGAGGAAATGTTTTCTGACTTTGTTTTTGGTTTCCAACCAGAGCATCGTGAGTGAGTTGGCAGGGCTTTTGTCAGCTATGGAGTACGTGCAGAAAACTCTCACGGATGAAGAGCTGGCAGACTGGAAGAGGCGGCAGCAGATTGCTTGCATTGGAGGCCCTCCCAACATCTGCCTAGATCGGCTAGAAAACTGGTAAAACAGGAAAGAGAAGTTTTTCCTTTCTTTTTAGAAAGCTGTGCTAAATTATGGTGAGAACTGCAGGCCTAAAGAGTTGCTACTACGTTTCAGGGGTGGGGACTTTAACATACTCAAACTTAGTCTAAGGGTTAAAGCTTTTACTTTACTTGGACAATTTTCTTTAATGAAAATGTACTTATATTGCTATATTTTATTTTTTAAAATAAATAATTTATTTATTTGTTTGGGTTTTTTTGGCTGCATTGGGTCTTCGTTGCTGCACACGGGCTTTCTCTGGTTGCAGCGAGCGCGGGCTGCTCTTCTTTGCGGTGCTTGGGCTTCTCATTGCGGTGGCTTCTCTTGTTGCGGAGCCCAGGCTCTAATGCGCGGGCTTCAGTAGTTGTGGCTCACAGGCTCTAGAGCGCAGGCTCAGTAGTTGTGGTGCACGGGCTTAGTTGCTCCGCAGCATGTGGGATCTTCCTGGACCAGGACTCAAACCCATGTACCCTGCATTGGTAGGCGGATTCTTAGCCACTGAGCCACCAAGGAAGTCCCTATATTGCTATATTTTAAATATATTTGACTAATTGAAATAAAGCTTTTGGTTTAACTGTATTTAACATGTGGACTAAATTTTAAATTTTAGTTACTTTAATACTCTCAAATGACATGCTTTCTATAAGGGGAAAAAGTTCAAATACAGGATATTAATAAAGAGAAGAAAAGACTTTAAAGATCAAATCATGCAGAGGTACTTAGAGTTAAAATTTTGGTGACTGTCACTCTAGACATCTGTTGTATATATAGAGATAGAAATCTATACATTTCACATTAGTAGGATCATTCTTCATATGCTCTTCTGTAATCCGCTCTTTTACTTTCATTCATTCAGAAAATCTTGATGGAGCACCCTTGATGTGCAAGGCCCAGTGATGAATATGCTGCACCAGCTTAAACTGGGAGATAGTTGACATGAAAGGGAACACAGATACACAGAGCATGAAACTGGAAATTTAGGACAGCTCTACATGAGATGCCTGTTTGTTCATACCCTCACTAACCCTGAGCTTTGCTGATTTACTGAGAGCAGTTTTAAATGCTTCCTGATCAGGGAACCAAAAAGCTTAAGTTCTGGGAATGGAGAATGTAGATGCCAGAAGTCCTGGTGCCGTCCTCCCCCGCCCCTTGCCTTCCACCTTCTCTCTTTGGGGTCTTTACTAAACTAGTGGGGGGCCATCAAAGAGAGGCACTGATATTCTCCATTCTTGGGGACAGATTTAATCAGCCTTTGTGTCCCTGTCTACTTTATCTATATGCATGTTATCAATATTTTGAAACATAACATCACATCCTTTGATCCATGGTAGGTGAGGTTGAAAGGGCTCCTGGGGATCATGCAGTTCAACCCCCCGTCTCTCAGGCAAGGGGACACCAAGGCCCACAAGAGTGAAGGGACCTGGCCAAGTTTGCACAGATAGTGAGGGACAGAGCTGGCTCAAACCCATCTTCTTGGGCTGTCTGATGTCCTGCACTTCCCCAGTCCTCACATTTGGGTACAAAGACAAGTTAGGCTGAGGAAAGTGAGCATCAAATTCCTTATTTCATGTTCTCCATGTCTGGGTTCTAATGTTTGTCACTTTCCAATGGTAACCCAATTAATGCCTCCTAGTGGCATAAGTTTTGACACTTCTTCCTCTATGCCTGCCTTCCTCTTTGAAATGTAAAATTTTAGGAAGGCACTGTTTTAAAAAGGCAAAATAGGGGGCTTCCCTGGTGGCACAGTGGTTGAGAGTCTGCCTGCCAATGCAGGGGACATGGGTTCGTGCCCCGGTCCGGGAAGATCCCACATGCCGCGGAGCGGCTGGGCCCGTGAGCCATGGCCGCTGAGCCTGCGCGTCCGGAGCCTGTGCTCTGCAACGGGAGAAGCCACAACAGTGAGAGGCCCACGTACCACAAAAAAAAAAAAAAAGAAAAAATTAAAAAGGCAAAATAGGGAATTCCCTGGCGGTCCAGTGGTTAGAACTCAGCACTTTCAGCGCCAGGGACCAGGTTCAGTCCCTGGTCAGGGAACTAAGATCCTGCAAGCCACGCAGCATGTACAAAAAAAACCCCAAAAAAGGCAAAAATAAGTTTCCCTTTTCTAATCTAATGCTGCTGAACTGTACATTTAGAAATGGTCAATTTTATGCTATGCATATCTTCCCACAATGAAAAAAAATGCCCCTTTCTTATGTCAGGGGACTGCGTAGAGGTGTTTATACCTGTGGTATTCCCTTCCCCTTCTCCAACTCAACTGTGTACACCCACTTAGGTAACTGGTATCTTCCTTATTTTATTGGCAGGATAACCTCATTGGCAGAATCTCAACTTCAGACCCGCCAACAAATTAAGAAACTGGAGGAGTTGCAGCAGAAAGTTAGCTACAAAGGGGATCCCATTGTACAGCACCGGCCAATGCTGGAGGAGAGAATCGTAGAGCTGTTTAGAAACTTAATGAAAAGGTAACTTAGAGTCCCTGTCCCTTTCCCCCATCACCCCCGCCCTCCACCGCCGCTCCCCAGAATGTCATTGAACGAGATTGGCTGACTTCCGAGGAACAGGACAGGGACTGGCCCACTGAGTTGCGTGTGAACCACTGCCCTTCTCTTTCCC